CCTTTCTCCCCTCTATGGGAGCAATTGTCTCCTATGGATCATCTCCATGGGTGGAATTTCCAACCCTTCCCTGTTGCGTTCTTTAAACCATACTAACAGGTCAGCCTTTTCTTCCTTCTCTTCAGTCAGAATTCTCATATTTACCTTACCTGCTCCTCCTCCACCCCCACCCTAACTCCACTTTTACAATTAGGGTCCATCTCAAAAGATTCATCCCTACTTCTGGGACATAAAGAAGCCTGTCTTGTACTTGATCAAGTCCCCTTCTGAGTAACGTTTTCTGAAATACAGGAGCCTGGAACCCTTCGCCCATATCTCCCTGCACTGTTAGGTTGTCTGTTGATAACTTGGTGCCTTTTGGCAGGTCAGGGAGGATTGGGTGGTCCCAGTGTCAATTAGAAAGTCATTTCCTTGTCTTTGAGTCCCACCTTCAGATTTATCAAAGTGCCTGGTGGGGCCCAGTCATAAGGAACCCCGGACTCCCACTAGTCCTCATCAAAGGCCATAAGGGCAGTCACCTTTTCTTCTTCTTCGTTTTATTACTGGGCATTCTCTTTTGAATGATCATTTATCTGCTGGTGGGTTTAGGGGCCTGGCCCAGCCCTCTCCTCCCTATCCTCTGAGGAAGCTAAACACTGTAACCACTGTCCCACTTCCTAGAGGATGGGGAAGGGGGTGTCTTGTTCTAGACTCTTGTTAACTATTTTATTCACAGTAGATACCATGATTCTTGCTTTTTGCCTTGTTTTTTCCTCTTCACTTTACAAAAACGTTCTGAGTTTCTCTTAACAGTTCATAAATGGGTTGCTCACTCCATCCCTCAACCTTGTGTACTTTCTTAACGATGTTGAGTTACTGGTTACAAAGCTGACTTTTCGGAGTGCTTGTCCTATTTTACTCTCTGGGTCAAACCCACAGTGTTTTGTCATTTGATCCCTAAGTCTCTGGAGCAAAGCCTACGGGGTTTCCTCTCTCCCTTGTTGGGCCTTGAAAGCCTTGGCCACATTCTGGGATCTGAGGATGGATTGCCTTAGTCCCTCAATAATTACTCCTCTAAGTTCCTGCATCTGACATCGGTCTTCAGGGTCATTGTTGTCCCACCCTGGGTCAATGTTGGGCAATTTCTATTCGGGAGAAGGAGCATCTCACCCCGCAGGAAAGTGTTCCTTCTCCCAAACTGCCATAGTCGCTCCCCTCTCTTCCCTGTGAACAGGATGGTCATAATGCACATCATTGCCCCCCAAGTATAATCATTGGGCCTAGAAATGAATCTAATTGTTCCTCCAGGCCAAGGGGGTCTTCCAGGAGGGATGTCATTTCCTTCTTCAGTCCTGGTGACGAGTGGCACTGCTGGACGTCTCTTCCTTCTCAAACCTGCATAGGACGGGGCAGTTGGCTGTTTCCTTGTTATTCTTGGTCCCAGCTCCCTCACTATATGTAGTTCCTGTCTCTTTCTGCCTTGTGGCATAAGGGGGTGGCAGGCAGGATTTTGACCGAGGCTCCCCCTTTTCTTCGTTAAGGGGGGAACATCTTCTGAACTGATTCCACTCCCCCTACTGACCAACAAAGAGCATAGGCTAGTTCTTCCTGAGAAGGCCAAGGTCTGTCGTTCACATGAAGGGTTCGGGCCTGGCAGACCCAGTCCTCATTGCAATCAAATTGAGGCCAAATAACCAACAATGTCTAACCATCTTTTGTTGATCTTTTCCCCGTGTTTGGGGACTGTCCCCCCAGGCCCTCAACATTCTCCCCAAAAGGCCTGTCAGGAGGGATGTGTGTGGGAGGCTCTCTTCCTCCCTTTCTTTCTTCTTTCCTAGGCCTAGAATTTTCGTTCCTCATTTTCTATTGGTATTGGTGTCTGGTATCTGAGTTTCCCTATGTGCTCAAACTCCTAGTTCCTGGAGGTTATTTTGCACACCCTGAGATTTGCTTCCTCTGTCACCAGCCGTTTCCCTCGCAGGAGAACAGAACCGCAGATCGGGACTCCACACTTGCTTCCCTGTGCATTCAACCCCCCTATTTCCTTGGAGGTTTCTTGCACACCCCAAGATTCGCTTTGTCTGGCTCCAGCCATTTCTTTTGAGGGAGGACATAACCGTGGTTCAGGACTCTGCACTCACCACGCGTCTTTAACTGTCTCGGGTCTTTCTGGCTCTCACTGGGAGGCAATCACCTCTGTGGAGCAGGCCACTGAAACCAGGCAGGATTACCACTCCAAGCGGGCAGAAAATCCCCATTGAACCCCCAGTTTGTGAGAAACATTGTCGATACCCCAGATACTGCCTTGACCCCTCTTGGGTACTAGTGGGTTAGGGTTAGGGTCAGTATAAAGCCCTGAGTGGCACCTCACCCCGATGGGGCTCCAGAGGGAGAACTGGAGCACATCGTCTTATCCCGTATGAGGTTACTTACTGACAAACACTCAGGAAATCCAAACTACTGATTTTAGCACGAGTGAAGCTTTTTATAATTCGATTTTGCAAAATCAGATGCCAAGCCCGGAAGTCACAGGCAGACACACCATGAGGCTGTTTCACAGAGAATTTTATTCTCCTATTTCAAGGAAGACTTTCCCCAGGTTCCTCATTGACTGAGTCCTATGGGGTTAACCATCTTTCTAGGATGTCACCTTCTGTTCCTTGATGGTAGCACTGTAATTTAAAGTTCCTAGCTGTGGAACTGGTTCCTTTCCCCTTCCCCCATGAACTTCTGTTGTTACACTGGCCAACAATTTCAATTAGCAACTTCCAGGATCCCCTTCATTCCTGAAGATGGACCACCCTAACTGTTATTTCTCACAAGAGGCAGAGTCATTTCTTCCTGTCCATTATTTTGGGAGCAGGCCACATCCCCAAGGAAGCATCCCTTTGATTGGATGATATGAGCAGCCAGCCATCATAGAGTTAACTATGCCTGTTTCATGTTTAATCACCATGGGGATAAGCACATCTCAACTGTTAAACCTCTGGAAATTCTGGCCTGGCCAATTTGACACAGAACCTACCTGTTATGTACCTTGTTTGACGACATTCGTGAAGAAGAACCACCTTTGTTGGAGAAGTGCCTTGTATCCAGTCCCTTTTTGTTTTACTCGTTAATGACGCCATATTTATGCTGCGTTCACTCAGTCTTCATGGAAGTCTTATAAATTGCTATTCAACCAACCCAAGGTATTGAAATCATAAAATATGACAGTCTTTCTGTTCTCACAACTGCTTTTCCTCTTTATCTCTTCCTGTGAACCTGAATTTAAATTGTTGGATCAGTGTCTCAGAATGTTAATGATCACAATAACCTAACCACTGAAGAAGCAATGATACAGTTTATGGAAAATAGCAGCTGGCCCTCCGTGTTACAGAAAGTCTGTGAAGTATATGACACTGGCGATGAGAACAAGCAGGACACACATGTCAGGTGAGTGTCGTTCACTGGACACATAGCAGTGCTTCAGAGAGAGTCTGAAGAAGGTATCATGGCATCAAAATATTCATATAAATATAAGGAGCTTAGGTGGTACAAATGATTAAGTACTTGCTTGCTAACCAAAAGATTGTCAATTCAGATTCATCCAGTAGACCTGTGGGAGAAAGACCTCATGGTTTGCTTCTGTAATACTTCCTGCTGAGAACTCCTGACATGGCAGTTCTGGTCTGTCATTGGAGTCACTATGAGCAGGAATTATCTTGCCTGCATCTGACAGCAATCTGTGTATTCATGTGTATGCCATGTATGCACCATCTCCTCACTCTGAGCCCACCACTGACATATATAGACTCACTTACCTGCTGATTCCATTTGGACTCGAGGGACTCCTTAGGACAGAGTAGAACTGATCTGTAGAGTTTTCAATTCTGTATCTACACAAGCCGACTTAACTTCAGAGTCCTCTGTGGCACTGGTAGGTTCAAACCAGAGGCCTTTGAGTTAGCATTCAAGGCTTAACCCACTTCACCAGCATGGCTCCTATATATAAAGTGGCTTCGGTTTGTGGAAAAATGGATAATGGAAAAAAGATAATGGACTTATTTCACAAATTTTTAAAGATGTCTTTGTGTGTGTGTGTATGGGGATGCATACATGTGTTTATAGGGATATCGATGTACATCTATATGGAGTCATGGTGGTGCACTGGATTAATCATTGGGCAGAGAACTGCAGGTGCCATGGTTCAATACCACTAGTTACTCCTTGAGAAATGGATGAAGCTGTGTCCAAGATTTATAGACTCAGAAACTCTAAGTACTTCTACTGTATTCTAAAGGGCACTAGGAGTCAGAATTGACTCAGTGACAGTGAGCTTTTACATATGTGTGTATATGTGTATATGTGTGTATATACATATAAAGGCATGTTGGGTCTATTATGACACATGACCACTTTTACATCTATGTGTGTTTATATGTGTATATGTGTGTATATACATATAGAATCATGTTGGGTCTATTATGACACATGACCACGTTTACATCTGTGTGTGTATATATGTGTATTTACATATAAAGTCATGTTGGGTCTGTTATGACACATGACCACTTTTACATCTATGTGTGTATATACATATAGAATAATGTTGGGTCTGTTATGACACATGACCACTGTATCACTGGATTTGTTCAAACTGCCTGTTTTACATTAGTTGTTATTAAGTGCCGTCAGGTTGGTTTCAACTCATACAGACCCTAAAACCGGGTTTCCAAGGAGCACCTGGTGAGTTTGAACTGACATATTTATGAATTAAAAGTCTCATATTTTGTAACCTAGTTCATAATAATAGTGATAGAATCACTTCCGAGTCATTAAATCTATGATATGTGAAACAATTTGGGCAAAAAAAGATCATGTTTACTGTCTGTGTTAATGGTTAAATTGTGACGAATTTATTTTAACTCCCTATTTCTAGCAGAAGACATCTAGCAATGTCTGTTTGTGGAAGAAATGAAGACAATAAATATGGAGAAAAATTCATCCAAATTCTAAATATTTCTGTGTTCAAAAGATGTATGGACCTACATCCCTTTGAAGACCATCGGAGTGAAAAATCATTCAAGGGTCTTTCCTCAGTTGAGCATTTTAACAGATTTCACTGTGGATGCGATGCCAACCAGTTTAAAGAATGTGGGGAAGCCAACATAAACTCTCCTGTGAGAATTCTCAAAGGAAAGAAATGCTATGAATGTAACTATTGTGGCAAAGTTTTTAGTCAGTCCTCAGTCCTCACAAATCATATGAGAACTCACAGTGGAGAGAGGCCTTACATATGTAATGAATGTGGCAAAGCCTTTAGGCAGTCATCACACCTCACAATTCATAAGAGATCTCACAGTGGAGAGAGACCTTATGAATGTAATGAATGTGGTAAAGCCTTTAGTAAGTCATCAGACCTCACAATTCATAAGAGAATTCACAGTGGAGAGAGGCCTTACGAATGTAACAAATGTGGCAAAGCCTTCATTCGGTCCTCACACCTTACACTTCATAAGAGAATTCACAGTGGAGAGAGGCCTTATGAATGTAATGAATGTGGTAAAACTTTTAGTCAGTCCTCAAAACTCACAGTTCATAAGAGAACTCACAGTGGAGAGAGGCCTTATTTATGTAATGTATGTGGTAAAGCCTTCAGTGAGTCCTCAAGTCTCAGAAATCATAAGAGATCTCATAGTGGAGAGAGGCCTTATGAATGTAATGAATGTGATAAAGCCTTCAGTCAGTCAAAAAACCTCACAGTTCACAAGAGAACTCATAGTGGAGAGAGGCCTTATAAATGTAATGAATGTGATAAAGCCTTTAGTCAGTCAAAAAGCCTCACAGTTCATAAGAGATCTCACAGTGGAGAGAGGCCTTGTGAATGTAATGAATGTGGTAAAGCCTTTAATCAGTCCTCACACTTCACAATTTGTAAAAGAACTCACAGCGGAGGAAGGCCTTCTGATTGTAAGGTGATTAAAGCTTTAGTGAGCCCTCAAGTCTCAGAAATCATAAGAAATATCACAGTGGAGAGAGGCTTTAGGAATGAATTAAATGTGGTAAAGCCTTTCGTCTGTCATCAAGCCTCATAAAGCGTAGTAGATCTCCCATTCCACAGGAGCTTTATGAATGTAATGAATGTGGCAATAGTTTTCATTAATACTTAACCCTCACTAAGCCTATATGAACTCACAGAAGACAGAGGTCTTAAGAACTTTTGGAAAGCCAGAGTTTGTCTTTAGTGGTACTGTAGGATAAGCACTGGACTTCAAACTGCAAGATCAGCAGTTTAAACTCACCAGCTGCTCCTCGGAAACCCTATTTATACTCCTCCTAAACCTTATAAATGGTCGCTAAGTTGGAAATGACTTTGATAGAACTTAACAACAATGTGTTATAGTTTCCACTTTTAATTTTTTAATTTGAGACATTTTGAATATACTGTGTGAATTTTTATAAGTTGTCTTTTGCTTTTATTTGTATAGAAGTACATTTTATTTGAATGACCCATCTTTCCTTTAGAGATTTTCCTATTTAACGAAGTTAGCTATGAACTTTAACTGTTAATGGTTTGAGAACATTAGTAGCTAACGTAGTTAATTGGCAGCAGCAGCGAGTTCAGGCACCATTTGTGAAGTTGGAGCCAGACTGGGCAGGGTTTCATTCTGCTCTATGTCAGTGTGCTATGAGTCGATACCAACTTGAAAGCACCTAACAACCACAACAACAACATTTTAAATAAAAGCTTTTATAAACATTTCTGTACCACTTGGTCTGAACATAAATTTATAATTTTTCTTGCATATATCCTTAACTTATTGTTGTTGTTGTTGAGGGCCATCTAGTCGGTTCCGACACATAGTGACCCTGTATAGAGTTGCTGGTGAGCTTGTACTGCTAATCTTGTGGCTCAAACCAAGTTTGGAGTAAGTGTTTCTAGAGTTTTATAAGAAACTCAGTCTGTTTGTAAAGAGGGCTTTTCCATTTTGTATTCCTGCCAGCAATAGCTCGCTGCGGGTACTGCCAGGATGTGCAGATACTCCTTTCTGTTTGGCCGTGGTATCAGGGGAGGGGATGAGGATGATGGCTCATCTGTGAGGGGAAGGGAAGGCTGGAGCAATCTGGTTTAGATCAAGGCGGCCTCTGGGCTTTGCCACCACTGACAGCCTGGTCCAAACCTAGATCTCATGAGTCTTTTTAGGGAAAGAAACGGTCTTTTAATTCAGGGTCCAGCTGTAGGAAGTGGATTCTGGGTCATGCCATCACAGTCCCTGGTGCCATGTGCATTACTGTCTTCCTGGTGTGGAAACCAGAAATCTGTGTGTGCATTTGAGCTAGTGCGTCAGCCAGTAGGCAGCCATCTTACTATCCAATACGCCCGTGTCTGTGTCTGAAGTGAGGTTTTTCCCAGCTGGCAGAAGTCCAAGTCAAGGTGTTGGCTGGTGACAGCGGAAGGGCTCCAAAGTGATGATTTTGGGACAAAGGTTTCTTGTCCCACAAGGGTTTCTTGGGAGCCACGGCCCCTCCAAAAGCATAGCATGTTTTCCCACACTTTGGTCTGAGCTCATTGCAACATTTTGCTATGGCTGCCACCTGGGTCTTGGATTCCTGGGGTGGTCCTGGAAATGTGAGGGTGCTTTTACATCTATTGTGCTCTGCCCACCCCAAATCAACATGTGTACCCTCTCTCCTGGAGGAGCCCTGGTGTGATGCCGAAGGTTAATGCGCTGGACTGCCAAGTTGGTTTGAACCGCAAAGTTGGTGGTTCAGGCTCACCAGCCACTACTTGAAAACCCTGTGTAGTGTCACTGTAAGGCAGAACTGACTCAATGACACTTAACAACAACAACCCTTCCTGTTAAAGAGAGTCTTCCTCAGCCTTGTTCTAGCCTCCTTTATTTGGAAACCTGGTTTATTATACTAAGCACTTGCTCTATTTCTCTGACTTTGAGTGTCTGCTATTCATATTAGATCATTGATATTTTGCTGAAAAATCATTTCAGGTTAGTAACTAAACAGTAACTAACCCAATGAAAACTGCATAAATACAAGTACAGCAGAGCTCATCAGCATGTGCCCAGGTCAGGAGCCACGGGCAGAGAAGATCTTTAACGGAATTTTTGCAGCTTAAATTTTGGGTATTTTTGGAGCTGTTTTTTGTTTGATAAAATGAACACAGACCAAGATTCCACACTAAAAATGAAGAACAAATTTCCCTTCATTTTGTAGTTCATTATACATATATAAATTCATTGAACAATCTGGAATGTAATGAATTAGCAAGATTGAGAAAAATGGTTAAACAGCAAAAGTTAGGACCACTCCTCACGTTCAGCCTCCCATGCAAGCTTCTTGAAACCTTTGGAAGAAAAAGAAGAAAGATGCTTGAGATAGTGTAGACTACTGATGGTCCCAAAGAACAGGAAGCACCCTAATTGTATTTGAGGGGCAGCTTTACTGGGTATTGATTCTTTGTTGTCAGTGTTTGAGTTCTTGCCTGCATGGGTTCTGCTGAGAAATCAGAACTTCATCTTATTGGTTCTGGAGGGAACATTTCTTTTGGAATCTATGCTCCTTGTTTGTTCTGCTTCTTGTATGCTTATCTTCTTTCTTGATGTTTGGGAAGTTTTCTCCCAACTTTTCACCAATTTCCTCTGTCCTGCTGACATTTGGGCTAGCTATCCAGTGTTTATACTACAGAGCCTCCAGGGCTCCTTAGGTCAGCTGTAATTTTGTGTGTTAGCAGAGCCTTCACATTAAAATATTTTTATCATTGTGAGTAGTATATTGATTCTTAAAAAAAAAATCTTTCACATATAATCAGTTATCAGAAAGTCTCATATTTTGTAACACTGTGATAATAATGATATGATCACTTCCAAGTGATTTAATCTTTTATGTGAAACACATTGGGGGGAAAATAATGTTTACTGTCTGTGGTAATGGTGAAGTTGTGGTATTTATTTTAACTCCTTATTTTTAACAGAAAACGTCTGGCAAAGTCTGTCTATGGAAGAAATAAAGACAATAAATTTGGAGGAAAAATTCAGCCTAATTCTAAATTTTCTGTCATCAAAAGATGGATGGACCCATATCCCTTTGAAGAACGTTAGTGTGAAAAGTCATTCAAGGGTCTTTCCTCAGGAGAGCATGCCAACAGATTATGAATGTGATACGTTGGTAGTCATCACACCTCACAGTTTATATGAGAGATCACTGCAGAGAGACATTATGAATGTAATGAATGTGGAAAAGCTTTTAGTGAGTCCTCAAGTCTCAGAAATCATAAGAGAATTCACAGTTCAATGTAATGAATGTGGATCCTCAAACCTCCCACGTTGTAAGAGAATTCACAGTCAAGAGAGACCTCATGAATGTAATGAATGTGGTAAAACCTTTTGTCCTCAGAACTCACAGTTCATAAGAGAACTCACAGTGGAGACTGGCCCTGATGAATGTCATGAATGTGCTAAAGCTTTTAGTGAGTCCTCAAGTCTCAGAGAATTCACAGTGGAGAGAGGCCTTAGGAATGTAGCAAATGCAAAGCCTTTCGTTGGTCCTCAAACCTCACACTTCATAAAAGAATTCAGAGTGGAGAGAGACCTTACGAATGTCATGAATGTAGTAAAACCTTTAGTGATCCTTCATATCAGAAATCATAAGAGGTCTCACAGTAGAGAGAGGTTTTAGAAGTGAAATGTCTGTACACGGTAGATCTCACACTTTAGAGAAACCTAATGTGCTAACGTCTTCATTAAATCCTCGTGCTTCACTAAGCATGTGCACACTCACAGAAGACAGGCCTAAGAATTATCGGAAAACCATAGTCTGTCTTTAGTGGCGTTATAGGATAAACACTGAACTTTGAACCAGAAGGTCTGCACCTCGGAAACTTAATGGTTGCTAGTTGGAACCAAATTGATGACACTTAACAATGTTTTCAATTTCCACTTTTCATTTTTTAATCACATTTGAAATATGCTCTATCCATTTCAATAAGTTGTATTTTGCTTTTATTTGTATGTTGTTGTTATGTGCTGTGGAGTCGGTTCCGACTCATAGAGACCCTGTACAGGGTTTCTGAGGCTGTAAATCTTGACGGGAGCAGAACACCTCATCTTTCTCCCGCGGAACAGCTTGTAGTTTCGAACTGCTGACCTTGTGGTTCACAGCCCGATTCGTAACCACTACGCTACCAGAGCTCCTTTTATTTTGTATAGAAATACATTTTATTGGAATGACCCATCCTTTTAGATATTTCCTTTCTTTACAACATTAACTATTAAAGTTATTAAAAACCATAATGTTTACAATATTAACTGACAGATGGCAGTGGGTTCAAGTGTAGTAACAATGTTTGTGAGGTTGATGCAGGACCAGGCAGTGTTTCCTTCTGTTGTGCGTAAGGTCACTATCAGTGCCGACTGGACAGCATCTCACAACAGCAACACCACCAACAATGGTTTTGATAAAGCTGATATAAACATTTCTATACCACATTTATCTGCATGTGGTTTATCATATTCCATTGTGTGTATGTACCAAAGTTTAACTATTCTTCTGTTGATGGGCATTTGGACTGCCTCCATCTTTTTGATATGTCTCTTGTAGCAGCAACAGCATATTGTTTTTAAGTGTCGTCGAGTCAGTTCCGACCCATAGTGACTCTGTATAGGGAGGGTTTCCGAGGGGCAGCTGGTGAGCTTGAACCTTGCAGTTCAAACGACTTTGCAGTCTGACGCATTAACCCACAACACCACACCAGGACTCCAGGCAGCATTTTGCAGGATCCAATTTTTGTAACGATCAGTTCATACCTATTGATAATTATTTTGAATGTAAATGGAGTAAATATAGCAGACAAGAGACATAAAGAGAGGAATGGATGAGAAAACAGGGTCCTTCAGAAAAAAAAAAAAAAAGACAGCCTATTGAAGGACCCTATTTTCTCATCCATTCTTCTCTTTATGTCTCTTGTCTGTTACATTTACTCCATTTACTTTATCAATAGGTATGAATTGATCATAGTCAATTTTTTGTGTGTGTGGTTCTGCTGGATCAATTACTCCGTATGATATCCTATTCTGAGTTCATTTTGTGGCTTTTATTTGCATTTTTATTTCTGTTAATGTTTACTAAATCATTCTGATTTCCTCTTTTTATTTTGATATGCAGGTGTATTATTTTTCTTCGAGGTCACTCTAATTTATTAATTTTTTCCCCTGCTTAAGACACTCTCTTTTATCTTGCAATCTACCTACAAGAGTGCCTCTTTTTACTTTGTAGTTGACTTCCCTATACAGCCACATCTCTAGTTTCCTATTGTCAGTCCTGTAGGGTTGTTTTACTGTAAATACTTCTATATGTTGCTTCAGTTCTAAGTGGTGTCATGTATAGTAATCTCAGGTTGTTGTCTGCTGTTGTTCATTTATCAGTCCAAAGATCATTCCTTAGCATTGTAAAGTTAGTCTGGTCATTACAAATTCTTTTAATTTCTGTTTATCAGGAAATGTCCTAATTTCAGAATTGTATTTGAGGGACAGTTTTGCTGGGTACTGATTCTTGGTTGTCAGGTTTTTAGTTCTGCGTATGTCATCCTGTTGCCTTCTTGCCTACGTGGTTTCTGTTAGGAAATGGTGTTGTTGTTGTTGTTAAGTGCCGTCGAGTCGGTTCCGACCCATAGCGACCCTGTACAGGGTTTCCGAGGGTGTAAATCCTTACGGGAGTAGAAAGCCTGATCTTTCTCCCGCGGAGCGGCTGGTAGTTTCGAACCGCTGACCTTAAGGTTCGCAGCCCGATTCGTAACCACTACGCTACCAGAGTTACTTTTATTGGCTCTTCTGTGGGTTAAGTTTTTTTCCAAGCTGCTCTCAGGATTCTTTCCTTGTCTTTGATTTTCATAAGTTTGATTATGATATGTCTTGGTGGCTTTCTTTTGGGAGCTATCCTGCTTGGTGTTTGCTCTGCATCTTGTATGCTTCTCTTCTCTTCTTTCATGATATTAGGGAAGTTTTCTTCCAGTAACTCTTTCATCAGTTTTCCCTGTGTTTTTCTTCTCCTGTAAGTTGTTTGGTTTCTTGGTGTCCCACATAACTCTTAGATTTTCTTCAGATTTTAAAATTATTTTTTCTGATATTCTAGCATACTAGTCTTTAGAGCTTTATCTTCAAGTTCACTAATGCAGGCTTCTGTAGTTTCACATGCACTCCTTTTCCTTTCAATCTATTGTCCATTTTCAAATCCATTTTCAAATTCAAATCTGAATTTCTACTTGCAGGATTTGAATTGTTTCAAATCTTTCATTTATTTCATCTCTTTTTCTTGTAATGTTTTCCTGAATTCTTCTAAAGCTTGCATTGTGTTCTTTGTGCTTTCCTCGAACTTTCTATTGATCCTTTGAAGGTACTTAATTAACATTCTTTTAAATTATTTTTCAGTTATTTCAGTTACCTTTTCTTCAGAAACATTTTCTGACTGTGTTTCTTGGTCATTTGTTTAAACTATTCTCTCTTGTTTCTTCGTGTGAACAGAAGTTTTCTGTTGTTTCTGGGGCATTGTGGGGTTATCGTATTTTATAAAGACAAACCGTTCAGTTGTTGAACCCAGAGAGGAGAAATCTCAGTGGACTCCTGCAATTCAAGGGACTCAGAAGGTGGTTCTTCAAGGCCCTATGTGGAGTTCTATTGGCCTTGTTAGTAGTCAGAGCAGTGAATCCAGAAATAATTCATGGGAGCCCTTGATGGAGCTGGTTTCAGTGTCTGTTAAAGACCACAGTGACATTGGGGACAGGGTGACTGGTTGAATGCTGGTCTGGTGGCTCTGTGGTTTTTCTAGTTCTGGAGGTGAGCGTACCTGAAATCAGCAACCAAAGCTGAGATTCTGCCCCCAACTCGAACTGGTGTGGCTCTCAGCCATGCAGCCCCAGAGCCACAAGAGCAGGGTCTGTGCTAGGGATGGATGAGGGTGGGAGTTGGCCATACCTCTCATCAACATGGTCATGTGGGGAAAAAGAAGACATCGCACCTTTCCCATTGCCCTCGAGAATCTTCTCTGCCATGTGTCCCTGTTGTACCAAAGCTGCTCACAAGTTGGTCGAGCTGTATCAGGCCAGCCGTTCACCGTTCAGTCTCACTTTTTCGCCATCCCTGCTCATCCTTTCCTAGCAAGCCCTACACCCACCTCTCGAACCTTTCTTCTGCAGTTCAGGGTGCCAGAATTTCCATCTATGTCTCTTTTATTTGATCTTTAATAAATCTGTTGTAGTGTGTCTGTGAGGTGTGTCTGCTTGGTCCGCCATCTTGCTGAAAGTTATGTGTTTTTGTGACAGCTTTTTCCATGGGTGTTCATTGTGGATCTAAGCACATTGACGTCTTTGGCAACTTCAATGTTTTCTCCATTTATCATGTTGTTATTTAGTGGTCTAATTGTGAGGATTTTTGTTTTCTTTACATTACGCTGCAATAAAAATACAAGGCTGTATTCTTGGATCTTTCATCAGTACTGATGCCACATTCTTCAATTAATCCAATTTCTCAGGTTATTTAGCTAGCATACAGATTTATTACGTATGGTGAAAGGGTACCTTTCTCAAACCTTTCCTGATTTAATACCATTGTGTCCTACTGTTCTGTTTGAATTACTGTGTTGTGGGCTTTGTACAGGGTTCTTATTGGCAAGATTAAGTGTTCTGGAATATCCATTCTTCACAATGTTGTTGTTGTTATGTGCCGTGGAGTCGGTCCTGACTCATAGTGACCCTGTACAGGGTTTCTGAGGCTGTAAATCTTTACGGGAGCAGAACGCCTCATCTTTTTCCCACAGAACAGCTGGTAGTTTTAAACTGCTGACCTTGCGGTTTGCAGCCCAATTCGTAACCACTACGCTACCAGAGCTCTCCTTCACAATGTTAACCATAGCTTAACATGGGATCCACACCATCAAAAGCCTTAACACAGTCAATATGTTGTTGTTGTTATGTGCCGTTGAGCTGGTTCTGACTCACAGCGACCCTGTACAGGGTTTCCAAGCCTGTAAATCTTTACAGGAGCAGAAAGCCTCATCTTTCTCCCACGGAATAGCTGGTAGTTTTGAACTGCTGACCGTGAGATTAGCAGCCTGATTTGTAACCACTACACTACCAGAGCTCCTTCATAGTCAATATAGCACTTGGAAATATCTTTCTGATATATTCTGCTTTCCGTCAAGTTCCATCAGACATCCCTAATTCCATGTACTCTTCTGAATCCAGCGTGAATTTCTGGCAGCTCTCTCCATGTACTGTTGCAGCCATTTTTCAATTTTTCGCAGCAAAATTTTATTTGTGTGTGATATTAATGGTATTGTTCAATGATTTCACTATATAAGAACACCTCTCTTTGAAATAAGCACAAATATGGATCTCTTTAAGTAAGTTGAACAGGTAGCTCTTGGCATAGATCAGTGAGTGCTTTTAATGTTCCAACAGTTTGTTGAAAGATCTCAGTTTATCTTCTGTCAATCCCTAGAGCCTTATTTTGCAGGAATGCCTTCAGTGCAATTAGTGCTTCTTCGTTCAGTACCGCCTGTTCTTGATCATATGCTACCAACAGGTTTACGTTTCTCTAATCATGTATTTTAGTGATTGCTGTTCCCTCAATGTAACGTTAGTTATTTCACTCTCTCCCTGTGATTCCTGATTCCATTCCACCATTCCCAAACCTGAGTTTTGTTCTTAGTTAACTACTGTCCTTTAAATCTTGAATGGTTGAGCATTCCACGGTGTGCATTACCACTAGTGTTGTTGCCCCTTATGTTCGTGTATGCCGCTTGGATGAACATGGACCCACTAGTGGGAGTTTAGTTCCAGAGCCGAAGCATGACCAAGGGCCATAATTTTGTGGCATCTCCAGCCTCTTTTTGACTTGTAAGCCTGGTGTTTTTTTTAATTTGAAGTTTTGTTCCATTATTTTCTCCCACTCTATCCAGGATAGTTGGTATTGGTAACCGGACACCTAGTTCTTGTTTCCTGGGTTTGGAGACTGATGTTTATTGTTCCATTAGTCTGTTGCACTAATTGCTTAGCACTGTTTTTTTGAATTGTATGTTGCTCTAGGATCAGCACTAAACTACTAACAGAAGGGTGGTAGTTCAAAACCACCAGCCACTCCTTGGAAACCCTATACAGAATCACTATGCATCAGAAGTGACTGGATGGAACTTAACAATAACAACAATAACATTCATTAGGATTTTTGAAACATACATTAGTTTTTGAAACTTTTTATTGTGACTTGAATGAAGGTTTGCAGAGCAGATCATCAGTTTTACAGCCCACAAAGTACTTTGTTTTATCTCAATTATTGCAGTCACCTCCATGTAACCACAGTCATCTCACTTCCTCCCTGTGGGGTGTTTTTTGTTGTTGTTTTGTATTTAACACCCACTCCTACAACTTGTCTTAAGCATAACCCTCTTATGGACCTTGTATAGAGTTTCCAAGGCTGTAAATCTAGCAGAATGCCATTTATTTCTTCTGAGGCCACCTGTTTGACTCAACCTTCTGATCTTGTAATTAGCAGCCCAATATGAAACCCACTATGCAATTGAAGCTCTTTAGGCCTGACTTAGATCTAACTACAGTCCTAGCCCAACAACAAAAAATAACTGCTGAGGTAAAATTAAACTTTAAAGAATATATATCCATTTTCCTCATGAGAGATAACATAACTGTTGACTGTACAGTTAATGAGCTAAATGAGGGAGAGACCATTTCTTAATTATCAGACAAATCCCATAAGAAATGCAAGCATTGTTTTTTTGCATTTGATGGGAGCTGACAAGGTCAGACCCTGAGGTCATGCTCCTCAAAATAAGAAATTTGTAGAGTAATTACAATTCACAAGAACCTGAAAGAATGCAAGGCTTATATAAAATTGTGATTGCTAATAATTGTATATTGATGAGAAAAATAGCAAATTATACCTCCTGGTTTGGACTTACTTAAAATTTCATATTTAAAATAGGTGTTCTCTTTTATGTTGTTGCTGTTATTGTTAGGTGTCATGAATTCAGTACCAACTCATAGCAACCTCATGCACAACTGAATGAGCCACTGCTCTATCCTGGGCCAACCTCACCATCTTTGCTATGCTTGAACCCATTGCTGCTGCCACTGTGAAAATCCATCTTGTTGGGGGTTGTCCTCTATTTCAATGAGCCTCCACTTTACCAAACATAATGTCCTAATGGTGGTCATCATGACTGGTCTCTTCTGATAACATGTCCGAAGTATGAGAGATGAAGTTTAGCCATTCTTGCTTCTAAGGAGCATTCTGGCTATTATTCTTCCAAGACAGATTTGTTTGTTTTTTTGCCGATCCGTGATATATTTAATATTCTCCTCCAACACCTTAACTCAAATGCATCAGTTCTTCCTTTGCTTTCTTTATTAATTCTCCAACTGTCACATGTATATGAGGTTATTGAAAATGCAATGGCTTGGGTCAGGCACAATCTTAGTACTCAAAACGACACTTGGCTCTTGGTCACTTTACGATGTCGTGTGCAGCAGATTTACCTCATGCAATGCCTCATTTGATTTCTTGACTGCTCCTTCTATGAGTATTGATGGTTGATCTGAGCAAAATGAAGTCTTTGAAAACTATAATCAGTTTATCTTGATGTTTAGTGGTCCAGTGTTGTGGATATTTTATTTATTTTCATTGATTTGCAACCCATACTGACTTCTGTGGTTTTTGATGTTCTTCAGTAAGTATTTTAATTCCTCTTTGCTTTCAGCAGACAAGGTTGTATCATCTGCATATCACAGTCTTCTTCCAGCCCTGATGCCACTTTTTTCTTCATACAATGCAACTTCTCGAATTATTAGCTCAGCAATAAGATTGAATACATATGGTGAAAGAATACAACCCTGGTGCAACACTTTGTCTAATTTTTAAACCATTCAGTGATCCCTAACTGCCTCTTGTTCTATATACAGGTTTCTCATGAGCACAATTAAGTGTTTCTGGATACGCATTCTCCACAATGTTGTCCATTCCTGGTCGTGATCCACACATTTGAAAGCCTTTGTGTAGTCAATAAAGCATAGGTAAACATCTTTCTGATATTCACTGCTTTCAGCCAAGATCCATCGGACATCAGCAATGATATCCCTCATATCATGTCGATGTCTGAATCTGGCTTGAATCTCTGGCAATTCCATTATGTACTGTTGCTGCCATTTTTTTTTTTTTTTGGATTATCTTTGGCAAAATTTGACTTGCATGTGATGTTAATGATATTCTATGATTTCCACATTCCATTCAGTCACCTCTCTTTGGAATAGGCACAATTATGGATCTCATCCAATCAAATCAGTTGATCAGAGCTGTCTCCCAAATTTTTTGGCATAGATGATTGAGTGCCTCTAGTGCTGCATTAGTTTGTTGAAATATTTCCATTTGTATTCCATCAATTCCCAGAGCCTTATTCTTTGATAATGCCTACAGTGCACCTAGAACTTCTACATTCAGTATCACTGGCTCTTGATCATATGCTACCTCTTGAAATGGTTGAATGTCGACCATTTCTTTTTGGTCCAGTGACTCTGCGTATTCCTTCCATCTGCTTTTGATGCTTGCTGCATCATTCAATATTTTGCCCATAGAATCCTTCAATATTAGAAGTCAGAGCTTGACTTTTTTTCGTCTGTTACCTCAGCTTGAGAAATGGTGAGTGTGTTCTTTCCTTTTGGTATTCTAACTCTATATCTTTGCACTTTTCATTATAATATTTGACTTTGTTTTCTTGCATTGCCATCTGAACTGTTCTATTCAGCTCTTCTACCTTTTCACTCCTTTTATGTAGGGTAAGTTAAAGTTATATGTAGATATGGCTTACTAATGTAATGATAGATTCCGTTATTCTTGGAAATGACATCTATATCTTACAGGAAAAATATGAAAATTAGGGAAAAGATTCTTGTATAGACCTCTGAGGAATCCTTGCATCCAGGCAATAAGACCATCTTCTAGTACCAACCATTTGTCTACCAATGGGAATCCACTCTTATGGCCCCAGAAAAACAAATTATTCCACACAACAATTGTTTTGCAACAACATATCACACAAGGGACTAATGTCTAAAATCTATATGAAACTAGAACACCACTACAAGAAAAAG